GAACGCGTTACTCCCCGGAAAGGATAATAGCGCGTTCGTTCCCCACCATAGACACCTGCGGTCCAGAGTTTTGCAAATATCTCAGCAACGTTGTGATTGTGTTAATAGTTGAACCGTTGCCCATGGTATTTGATTGGGTACGCTAGAATAAAGATGTGCAGAAATCATCCGTCATTTTTAATTCCTTTTTTCCTTTGTTTTCAGCTGTGCGCGTATTTTTTTGGTCATACTATAATAAAAAATGATAAAGCTCTCGGCGTTGATCAATCCCTGAGGGATGCGCCATGCATTTGACTTCATCAAGCATCGTTTGGAGATGATTGAATGCATATCTGGCCTTTACAATGACACGCGATCGCCCGTCGATGTGCCTAGCCAGCGTTGCGATTCTCCCAGACAAGTCTGGTACCAATTTGCCGACCCCGGAGGAATGGAAGGCTTGGTGGGCCATAGGCGCGGGGATCGATTCCACTTGTATGTTGCAGGGCGCCTCCGACCACTGCGCCACACGCGCCCTGGTCGTACTATTGAGGACTTTTTCGAGCATTAAAGCCGTCAGACATGAATTCTAATCTGTTCAGAATTGCTACTCGTCCTTTCAACTTAAGGCTATTAGATGACGCTCTGCATTTCACCATGTGAAATGCTGCATTTATTCCTAAAAAACCCGAACTTGTGCGTTGAATCGAAAAACTGGTCACCGATTTTTCGTAGTGAAAATCGCTAACGTTACATCAATTTTAAAGTTTTCTATTCAGAACTAAGAACAAGGAACACACGAATGCTGAAGAAAAAGAGTTTAGATACAAAGACGGAGAAATTCTATTATATGATGTGAAAAGCCGTCAGGAGTGATGTCAAAAGGAGAAGATAAGATCACCATTAAATGCACAACACCAACTTTATCATGGTGACCAGCTAGAGTCTCATGATGTGGTAATTCCATTTACAATACCATAGACACAACTTTCACAAATGGAAGGGCTCACCAGGTGGAAATAGGCACCTTATCAACGGCACTGTAGATTCGCTCATCACCTCCAACACGGCGTTCTCGACGACGTCACGATTCTTCTCCACCCATGAGTCGATGTTGTAATCGACACTACCCGCATAATGTTTGATCGTGAAATGCTTCACATCTTGACACCTTAATACTGGAATCTTCTAGAAGGTGAAAACGTGCTGCCTGAGGAAAAAACCATTGTCAGTTGCCATCACTTGAACCTGATTGTTTCGTTTATTTCATGAGGCCTTTTCTTATGCATCGTACGAACTACAATCTAGTTTGTGCTTTTTTGGCAAATTCGTGTGAATAAGTTAAAATCTCCAAGCACGTAGGTCTTTTTTTACTGTGATAAAGATGCCTTGATAATAGGTGATGACAAATTTTTACTAAGAATAAAAACCCCTCCCGACGATTTACCGCCTTATCGTGGCTGGGAGGTGTTCCTGGGTGTCGTACTGCGATGTATAAAGGGAGATTCATACCTTGGCATGGTCTTCCGAACTGAGAAGGAGTCCGGCGTTTCCATCAGGAAACCTAGCTAAGAGTAAACGAATACCGTGGTCTACCACCACCATCGCCGTCCTGGTACCAAAGTTGCATGATGGCAAAGCTCTTTCTGATCCACAAGGACTGCGACTGCCTATGGTGGTGAAAACTTGGGACAGACTTTGGCCAGTCGGGCCTCAGGATTCCAGGGAACCACAATGGCTTAACCAGCGAATCTCCGAAAAACGAGGATTGTGCTGGGACCAGTACAACCAATGAGGACGGGCCATTCAAGTATCAAGGAATAAAAAGCATTTCCTGCCCATTAAAAATTCAATGGCAAGTGACTGATGATATTAGGACAAGCGATACCAAACAACACGAGAACGTAGCAAAAAAAATGAATGGGACCTCACAAAGAAAAACACGCGGACCTTTTATAGATGTCAAAAGTAAAAGAAAAGACGTCCAGACGTTTTTGGACGTCCAAATAAACCTATCAAGTAGCGGTTACCTGACAAAGTGGTATCGAAAGCCAAGTAACAAGAACATCCTTGTTCATTTCCTTTCTTCCCACCCTTCACACACAAAGAGGGCGATTGTGAGAAACATGTTTCGAACAGCCACCTCTGTGTGCACTACCAGGGAACTAAAGGAAGAAACGCGCGGCCTGGCTCGGCAAATAGCCATCTCCAATGGCTACGAAATAGTAACCCCACGAGATAAGTTTACAAGGAGAACGACGCGCCCACGCGAAACACTTGGCCAAAACAAAATCCCGTTTATGTTGCCTTTTATAAGCGATGAAGTAAGCGCAGCTATAAAACGATGCTTAAGAAGGGCAGGTCTAAAGGAATAGGTAGCGATAGTTGAAATACCACCGACTACTCTACGTCGCCAATTAGTTCGCAACCGCCTGTATGACCGTCTGTGTGAAACAACAAATTGCGTAATTTGCCCTTACGGTGGGACGGTGATTCCATGAGTTCAGGTACGATATACCTGATCTCGTGTAACAATTGCGGAGATGAATATATTGGCGAAACGGGCAGATGTTTGTGTATCCGTATAAAAAAACACCTAGATGGCAAACGAAAACTAAGACGAAGCACCCCACTAGGCACGCATAGGATACAAAAGCATAGCGGAGACGATTTTGAAGTAAAAGTCAATATCCTTGCACAGGAGTCCAAAACACCAGCACGAAAACTCCTAGAGGCTTTTTGGATCAATGCCAAAAACCCTACAATGAATAGCAGGGATGAATGCCCGGAGGTCATACGCGACCTGATCCCGTACGTTCGCATCGATTTTTGATGTGGGATGGTGCAGTCGTCAACCACATGCGACTATAATCAGCTGTTCTAAACTTCCTCATTGGAAGTCACGAAAAAGCAGTGGGTTTTTCGAGAAGTCGTTGATCGTGTAATTACCAAAGAGTCTTTCGTCTTTGTGTAAGTGTTATTGAAGCGTTTGGCCTAGTAGATTGTATATCAGCATACCCTTCCAGGCTCTGAAGAAGGCGATACTGCCGAAACGTCAGCTAGCGTTGTATTGTATTGTGTTTTTATGGAAGTAAATGTATGCTGTTTAGAAACCTCGCGATTGCTGAACAAGAAAACGACACATTCATAAAAGAAAAGAATTAAGAAAAAGAATCACCCTCACCTCTGCGACTGCTTGGCTTTCCTAAATGCTGGATACTTTCCAAGATTTGTGAATAGTTTCTGTAGAAGTGACTGATCGGATCCGTTTGGAACAACACATTCTTCCTCCAATAGAGACAATAAACCAAGCGGCTAAAAATATTCGCTGAAGACACTTCATCAAGATTGAGAGAATTCCACAAGAGAAGTTTTTCGCTGCCTTTTCTTCTGAAATTTTTTACTGACTTCTATGTTTATAGTCAGCGGACTCTCAGAAATAGGTTTCGTCTGTATGTTAATACAGATATTGTCTATTTATAGATATTCAATGCTCATTTGCTTCATATCTTCAATGCTTTTCTTGACGAGCAAAGAAGAAGTTGTTATTATAGCATCTATTGAAATAGAACAGTTGACATTTCAGCGGTTTCACCTTTTTCACAGCCTCTGGAGTGGTAAAAATGCAATATACTCAAGAGAAGCGTGTAGCGCAGTGGTCGGAGACGCCCTCCAACACACACATAGAATCGATTCCCGTGTCCATGGCCTGCCAAACCTTTCAACCCTCCGGGGTCGGCATATTGGTACCAGACTTGTCTGCGAGGATAGCAGCATTGGCTTGATACATTGATAAACCACCGCGAGTCATTGTAAAGGGTAGTTATGCATTCAATCACTTACAAACGATGTTTAATGAAGTTGAATGAATGGCGCATCCCATAGGGATTTATTAACCTCGAGGGCTTCATCCTTTTTTACTTAATACGACTATAAACAGTTTTTGTGGGACTGTTGTTAACTGTCCAATATGTCAATGAATGAATGATGAATAGTTCCACCGGTCTGAAATGAGTGAAATAAATAGAAACTTTCAAGGTACGTCACAACTCTGCCTACTCCATCAAAAATGTGGACAGTTAGCTCAGTCATCGCTTCGAAACTATCCTTACACTCGTCACCTCCTTATTTCTGTTTCACTAGAATTCGGTTCCATTTGACCCATAAGTTAGTAATTCTTTATATTCCTAGTATAAATATAAGGAATATAAAGAATTACTTGATCAGTGCCAAGGTTAATAGAAAGTCGGTCGTGGGAATTATTACGAGACGTAGCATAAGTCAGTGTTGCATATCACATGCATTACTTTTCTATAGAGGAAAACACAGAAAATAGATTTGATTCGCTCGATAAAAGGACAAAGCTCCCGGCATTGATCAATCCTTTATGTATTCGCAATGCATTCCGCTTCACTAAACATAGCCTGGAGGTGATTGAATGCATAACTGGCCTTTACAATGGCTCGCGGTGGCCTACCGTTGTGTCGAGCCAGTGCTGCTATCCTCCCAGACAAGTCTGGTAGCAATTTGCCGACCTCGGAGGGATGAAAGGCTTGGTGGGCCATGGGTGCGTGGATCGATTCCACGTGTGTGTTGTTAGAGCGCCTCCGACCAATGCGCCGCAGACGCCCAATTGTTCTATTTGCTCGATAGAGCAACAAACCATCTATCGAAACGTCCACTGCCCAAAAAATACTGCAAACATGAAAACCGACGTCACTTGCAGCATAAACGTCATTTCACGAGTGGCAAACCGATCATCTATTGCTATTCCAACATTTAAAGGAGAAATATATGAATGGGAGACTTTTTAGGAAGCGTTTATTCATAGCGCACATTTAGGCCAAACGGGTGACCTCCTTAAAATAAATTATCTATTCGAGTTTCCTAAAGAAAAGCTAAAAACTTATATTGAGCAGTATGAACTTTCTAGACAGTCATACTCGATGGTGATACGGCAAAAAGTACACTGTGAAGCTACAAATCGGAAAGTCCCAAGTAGTGAAATGTGAGAAAACACGCATTTTCTATTGCACTAACTGAAATGATGTGCTCAATCAGTTGAGCAGAATTAAAAGGTTGGCGTGACAGCGATCTAAAGTGTTCTGACGTTTTGCCTATGAATCTAAGCGAAACACTTCCTTACCTTTTCGATAATATCGATCGTTGGCCGAAGATCAAGCGCGAAATCGCTCTGTGTCCACCGAATACCCTCTTCCAAATATTCACTTTGTTCACGTACGAACATAAAGTGATTGAAAAATGCTTGTAGCTTTTCATTTGTGTAGTTTATGCACAACTGCTCGAATGAGTTCTTCTGAAGGTTGTACGTGAACGATTTTTAGCCAAAGAGAATAAAGTATGCCAAAAAAGCTAAGTGATTAAAAAATTACAAAAAATTAAAGTATTAAAATCTTCTATTTACTGCCTTTTTTTCTTCTTAATGGCAGGGTATGTTCTGAAATATAATTCGTATGAAGTGCTGAGATACCTGCAAAACTCCGGACCACAGGTGTATGCAGTGGGGAACAAACACGCGCTGTTGTCCTTACCGGGGAGCAGCGCACTTCACCACTACACCATCCGGGTCGGACAGCGCGTTCGTTCCCGACTGCATACACCTGTGGTCCGGAGTTTTGCAGGTATCTCAGCACTTCATATAAAGTATTAAAATTAAACGGAAATTATAAAAAATGGAAAAAAAATTTGCTGACCGCCTTCATTTATTGGCTTGGTGATTACTACCTTCATATAGCAGTCGAACATGTTAGTGCACTTGATACTACCATATTTTCCAAAAATCACTAAGCACTGTTGTGAATTGAAAAAGTGTATACATTATTCAAAAGCTACAAAGCTTTGTAAATTTTTTTCAAAAAATTATTCTATACAGAAGATATGCATTTATATATATAT